AATCTAAATAACACTTCAGAGAATTAGACATTATAAATAGTTCTACAGGCTTTAGGGAATAACAATTATTTGATTAAAATCAGAGATAGTCCTGGAAAGAAGTCTAAATACGCTCATATCTATATATATATAAATGAATGTATGTGTGTCTGTTTGTTTGTTTGTCCTTTATGCCTGACCAAACCACTCATTGGATCGCCATGAAACTTTGGGAAGCTATTTAGTATAGTACTGGGAAGGTTTCTAGCAAATAAAATTTTTGAAATACCTTTTCGCCTAGAAATAATCAAGATAAATATTCTAATTTATCTGTTATAATTCAACAATCTGCTCTAAATATTATCATGATGATACGATGATTTTGTAATGTAGAAAATTAGGAAAGACAAAATTCAGGATGACACGGCAATTTATTTGAGACAAGAATAATGATACAATTCAAAGACAAGATACTATTCCTTTAACTTCCAATTACCGAGAGAACCAATTAATATTGATTTTATTCAACTTATCGAGTATTTTTCAAGGGACCGGGAAAAAATGTTCACTTTATCGAGAGATTCGTTAAACAAACCTTTACTCGGGTAAAACCCGGGCGAAGCCGGGTACATCCATACAAGAATAATGATACAATTCCAAGGCAAGATACTATTCCTTTAACTTCCAATTACCGAGGGAACCAATTAATATTGATTTTATTCAACTTATCGAGTATTTTTCAAGGGACCGGGAAAAAAATGTTCACTTTATCGAGAGATTCGTTAGACAAACTTTTACTCGGGTAAAACCCGGGCGAAGCCGGGTACGTCCGCTAGTTATTGTATAAACGAAGCAAGTCTCTTTTGAAAAACATCCTAAGAAATCGATATATCATAACATGTTCGCAATTTATATATAAAGCAAATTTTACTCAAATATGTATATTAATTATAAAGCAAAATCGAAAAGCGGATATAAAACTCAAATAAACCTAAATGTATATAAATTACTTATATAATCAGCCAGCTAGGCAAAGCTTACTCGAAGGCCTGGCCATAGGAGTAGAAGTTGAGTTTGTTGGAGCCCATGGTGGTGATGTTGTTGACCAGGCAGCGGATATCTTCGACGAAGTCAAAGGTGGTATGGGCGTACTCGTACCATTGGGCGTCGAGCTGAAGCATCACACAACCCTATTATTTGTCGAAACGTCGAGGTAATAAAAAGATTTACTGGCCGAAGTATCTTTATTTTAAAGAAATATGAATGCTGGCCAGGCAGCCTCAATATTTACGATACAACCCCATTAATAAATTTTATCATGACAGAAGTTATACCATTTCCTTATTCTCAGATCCACAATATTTGGAGACGTCACCACATTGCAACTTAGAAACCGTAAAAGTTGGAGGCCTCATAATATTTTCACTTTAGAAACAATAAAATTATAAATACCATTTATTCCAAATTTAAAAAATCACAATGAATAAGAGTATTCACATCGTTTTCACCTGAAATTATTTCTAATCGACACACATATATTAGCTCATTTATAAATTTGAACCCACAATGAAAATAGAGTTGGTCACATTTTCACTATATAAACTCTAAAAAAGGCAACATCTTTTCTCCTCAGAATTAGCAAAACATCAAAAGCTATTTCTATATTTTCTCACCTTATAATCCCAAATTATAAGAGAGGTTTCCATATTTTCACATAAGGAATAACATATCAGAACTAATATTTTGATAATGCAATAATTTTATTAGCAAAAAAATTCTTATAAGTAATTTTCGTTACAATCATTTAAAATATATTATTATCCAAGAAGTTTTAAAAAGCGTCTTAATAATCGATAACTAAAAAAAATAAGAATAAAAATAGGAATTTGTTTGAATTTTGAAATGGCTATAATATCTGAATCCTGGTAAAATAGAAGAAAGAACTTTTGCATTTCAAAAGTTATTGAAAAGGGCTAACTTATAAAAAAATATGAGCATAATTTAGATGGTATTTTGCCAAGGATTCATTTTTAAAAGCCAGATTGTCTGCTATATTTGATGAATTGAAGAATAAACTAGAAAAACCACAGAGTCGCTTGCACTTAACTCCAATTATTCATAGAATTCCAGATAATAATTAAAATTAATTCAGATATATACCAGACTATGTTGAAAATATAAAAAAACACCAGTGTGTTCGTGCGAAAAGATACACTCGCCCATTAGCCTCTTAATAATTCATTATTTTGGGTAAATTTCAAACAAAGGAGAAATTCTTCTATCATATTTAGGATGCTTCAAAACTCTATTGAATAACTATATATTATTCATGAAGGGAAACTAGAAAAGAATTATAAAGATGAGGACAAGATGGAGCACGTTCATAAACCGAAAGCTGGAAGGAAATTTGTCATATCTTAAAACTCAATGATATTTGATGTGGGGTTTGTCAAGTTGGAAATTTAAATTGAAACTCAGATGAGAGACATTAAAAATATGTCTTAAGATAATTTCAATTAACCAATTAACTTTTCAGGTTGATGAGAGTTTCTCATATGAAATCTTCTATTGAGAGTAATTTCTTGATCAAATTAAAATTCGCTAGCTCTTTAGTGCCTTAAGTAGGCCGGATGTCTTTGTTGGGCTGTGGTTTATGAATTTGAGTCTCAAGTGCCGAGTGAAACGCTTTCTGAATTTCATAAGTCTGGCTCTAGTTCAAATTATTAGTTTTATTTGACTGTTAAGAATTGTCCTATAGGATCATAATGTTAACTCCTTATAGAACTGTGATTCAAGAATTTTTCTCTGTCTGCGAAATCTTCTATACTATTAAAAATGAAATCACATTTTAAATTTCACATATCGTGAGATGGAGGTTGTACTCACGGAGTCGTAGGACACGGAGACCTCGTCGTCGATACGAGGGCAGGAAGGTGCGGAGGCCGCAGCGGCTCCCAGGGTGAGGAGGGTCAGAAGGAGAATGTACATTGTGGTGTGGGGATGTTCCTGTGGTGTCGGCATTTATAGCAGACGGTAGTGTGTGGGCGAAGAGAACAACAACATTGTTTGGCTGCCACAACACCACCTCGCTGACAATAAGAACATGGACACAGAAAACAATGTATTTACCTGTAAAAAATATCAAAGCCCAAATGTTTTATGTGTGTCCTCAAAATACTCTCTAAATTATTAATTCGATAGAAACTTTCTAGGTTAATAAAACAATTGCAAATATCAATAATTGTAGTGTAAATAATGTCTTGAAGTTGGCTAGAAAATGAATTTCCAAAGGATAAGAAAAAACTAATATATAGAAAAACCTTGATTTATCAAGAAATTGGGTTGGCCAAATATCAGGGAACAGGTTAAATCAATGAATAGTTGATTTCTGTTCCACCAGATGGCGCTCTGCCTTCTGAAAAGTACATGTGCTCCTGGTCAGGATATGCCTTTTTTATTTTTAATAGGAAAATTCATTTAGAAGAAAATACTTTGGAACTTAAAAATTGTTGATTCCTATTGTAGATTGT